TATTTTTAAATCCATACCTGACACGTAAGCTCAAAGCCACCTGTAGTTTGATTAGCAGAGTATTTTAAAGAGCATTATGCCTTTTATCATTAAAACTTGATTGGTTGACAAAGTATTAAGTAAGGTATTTAGTAACTGTAAATGTTCTCAAAATGTTCATCCCTCAATGCTCTCAAATGTAGCATTTCCAGAGCATTGATCACTAAATATTTTTACAAAAATTAAAAATAAAATTATATAACTAACTAATTTATTTTATATTACAATAAAAACAAATTATACTAACTTTTAATTATTTAAATTCATATTTATCATTATTTTATTTATTCTATTTATTAAGATAATATTATAATTCAATTAAATATGATTAAATTCGAAAAGATATAAAAAAAATTATGTTATAATTTCTAAATATAATATATACAAGCATTTCAATAAAAATAAATATAAATAATTTCTGTAATTATAAAACATATATATATTAATATTTATCATTTTTTATGTTCTATTATTTTTAAATAAATTTTAATAATAATATAACTTAAATACTAAAATTTATAATTCTTAAACATATATATATTTATATTAAAATGAAAACTTAATATATACCATTAGTTTATTTATCATATTATTTGTGAAATAATAAAATAATAATTTAATTAAAAAATAAAAATTGATGTTAAAATAATTTATTTTAATTTTATATCTAATCATTCACAGCTCAACCAATCAACTAAATGTGTATATTAATTAGAACATACTGCTCCAGCTGCTTGAGACGACCAGTTGGCCAACTTGGCTTCCATATTAAACGACACCGTTAGAAGAAATAAAAAAAACAAATACAATTTCCTATATATTTTATTTTGTTTTAGTGAAATTAAAACACACAACAAATTGAAATTTTACAAAATTCGAGGAAGAGAAGAAAACTTTTCGCCGCACCGCCTGAGATTCTCGGAGAAGACAACAAATTCACAATCACAGAGCTTCCTTCTTCTTCGTTTTCTCACTCTCTCTACAAACCCTAACCCTAATTTCATTCGATCACTTCTCTTCTCTTCTCTCTGAATTTCCACTACGGTGACTGGTACCGAGATTCTCCGACGTATTGCCGGCGTTTATATACAAATGGCGTCGCTGGCTTTGTCTTCTCCTCCCGGCGTTAAGTTTCCGTCGTTCCTAGCATCGTCTTCTTCGTCTCTCTTCTCTCGCTCCTCGATTTTCGCCGGAACCTCTGAGTCTCGCTCCCGAATCTCCGTTTCCGGTGGTGCGGTGAGCTATTTACATTATGTATATACACGGTGTGTCTTGTATGTATTTTGGATGATATTGAATATTTCAAAAGTTTCTGATTGATTCTCTGCTTTGATCTGTGAGATTTCCTGAATTGAGTTCATGTTTTTGCGTGAGAATTTGTTTGTTTCATGATTGTGAGGGAAGAAATTGGGAAACTATATGAATCTTTTTGGTTAATCTGTGTGTGTTTGTTAGAGAGAAGAAAGAGTTTGTGAATTTGGTTTCACAATTTTCATTGCCTTTTTGTGTTTTGTATTCATTCACTGCAGAAATGCAATTTGCCTAAGGCATTGAATGTAGGGAACGGGAATGCTCGTGTTCCGATTATCAATGAGACGACAATTCCAAAGTTCTTTGATTCTTCTCGGTTGGAGAAATCGGTCAGTGGAACCAATACAAAGCTCAAGTTGTTCTCTGGTACTGCAAATCCAGCACTTTCTCAGGTAGTTTATTTAATCAAGTTTTCTCAATGGTGAAAATGTCGTGATTAGTCGTTAAATCCGTTGAAATTTTTGTGAAGGAAATTGCTTGGTATATGGGTCTGGAGCTTGGGAAGATTAGCATAAAGAGATTTGCTGATGGAGAGATTTATGTTCAGCTTAAAGAGAGTGTTAGAGGTTGTGATGTCTTCTTGGTGCAGCCTACTTGCACTCCAACTAACGAGAATCTCATGGAGCTATTGATCATGATAGATGCTTGCCGAAGAGCATCAGCTAAGAAAGTAACGGCCGTGATTCCGTATTTTGGTTACGCAAGAGCTGATAGGAAGGTAGT